AAAAAATAAATAAATTGGTGGTCTTGAAAGATTTAAGCCATTTAATATTTTCTGTACTCTACACAAGAAACCACAGGAATATAGAACAGCTGATTTGTACAACTATGCTGAGTTTCAAAGGAGCACTTTGAATTAATGAATCTTCCATCTCTGCATTTGTTCAAAGCATGTCCAAAGGTAACGTAACTTTAATGGTGCTCTGTGTAACTTTGATCCAAGATGATTAAAGGGGACTTTGGTACATGGGTGCACATGTTCCACAGCCCCCTTTTCTTTAGAATATAGTGATGGGTCAAATCAAATGTTCAAATAGAGTAATCAGTGGAACAGCTTGCCTCCAGATGTTATGGGTGGTCCATCACTTGAGGCTTTTAAGAAGAGATACAGCAGTGGTGAAATGTAAAATTTGTTACTACCGGTTCTATGGGCGTGGCTTGGTGGTGGTGGGTCATGTGACTGGATGGGCGTGGTCAACTTTTTTTTTTTACTTTTAAAAGCATTTTTTTACATCCTATTCGGGCGACACAGCTGGTGGCACAGCTGTGGTCGTCGGAGCCTTTTGTTTTTTTACTTTTTAAAACCATTTTTACTACCGGTTCTGGAAAACCGGGAGTAAAAAATGCTAAAAAAGATTTTTAAAAAAGTTCTGATGATCGCGTGTCACTCAGCTGATCATCGGAACTTTTTTTTAAAAACATTTTTACTACCGGTTCGGCGAACCAGTAGCCTTTTTTACTACCGGTTCCGGCGAACCGGACCAAACCGGGAGCATTTCACCCGAGATATAGGATCTCCTGCTTGAGCTGGGGTTTGGACTAGAACACCTCCAACATCCCGTTCAACTCTGTTACAGGTAGTCCTTGACTTACATCAGTTTGTTTAATGACCATTCATAGTTACAACAGCAGTGAAAAAAGTGACTTATGACCATTTTTCACACTTACAATCCTTGCAGCATCCCCCACGGTCACATGATCAAAATTTGGACGCTTGGCAACTACCTCTCCCATCTTCCCTTATATAAGACTTTTCGGTAGTTTTGCAGAACTTGAGATGAGTTTGCAGAAGAAATTCCTGATTTATTATTTTTTTTTTGCCACAGATAGTCCTTGACTTACGACAATTCATTCCGTGACTGTTTGAAGTTACAACAGCACTGAAAAAAGTGAGTTTTGACAGTTTTTCACATTTATGACCATTGCTGCATCCTCATGGTCACATGATCAAAATTCGGACACTTGGTAACTTGATTTACTTACGATGGTTGCAGTCTTCCAGAGCCATATGTGACCCTTTTGCGACCTTCTGACAAGCAAAGTCTGTGGGAAGCCAAATTCACTTAACAACTGTGTTACTAACTTAAGAACTGCAGTGATTCACTTAACATGTCCGGTAAGAAAGGACATAACATGAGAGCTCCTGGATTGGAGCTGAAAGGCGAAAGGGAAGCAGTATGCTCCCTCCTATATTGGGATAAACCAGGTGCTTCGACAGAAAAACACTATATACATACATACATACATACATACATACATACACACACACACACACACACACACACACACATACATACATACATACATACATAATTCCATCTTCAATTAAACAATGTGTCATCCGGGTACAAATATCTTTGTATAATGATAATCAAGATTTACAACAATATTCATTACAATGACGACTTCAGCTTCAACCACAACAATACACGAGTAAATAATAGATACAAACTCATGGTAAACCGCTCCAAACTCGTTTACAGAAAATACGACTTCAACAACAGAGTTGTCAATGCCTGGAATGCACTATCTGACTCTGTGGTTTCTTCCCCAAACCCCAAAACTTTATCCTTAGACTGTCTACTGTCGACGTCACCCCATTCCTAAGAGGTCTGTAAGGGGCGTGCATAAGCACACCAATGTGCCTACCGTCCCTGTCCTACCGTCCCTATTTATTCATCTCCATCTCATGTATTCATAATCATGTTTATACTTATATCTGTTATCTTATACATGCTTGACAAGAAAAAAACAACAACATTAATTCTATAATATTAAAATGATAATATTAAACATAATACTTGCTTCTCTCTCTTAACATATCTTCTTTATTTTCACTAGTCATTTTCTTTTGTTTCCCCTGTTTTTAACTCCCATTTTCTGTGTTCTCTTATTCTGTTAATCTGATTTATTTTTTTTTTTCTAACTGAAATGCTGCGGTGAATTGGATCCTTCTGAGGTTCCGAGAAAGTGATATTTCTAACCCGATCATGGTGGCCGGCATAGGGAAAAAGCTGCCCACTTCTAACTTAACTTTTAAATGAATCGCTGAATGCTGGGATAATCAACCATGTTTAGGAGGCTGAATTAGATTCGTGGTCATTTCTCAGTGACTGCTCCTCTTTAAAACACTGGAAAGAACTCAAGCTATCATTCAGTTAGTGCAGTTGGCTAAGGGTGTAAAAGTTTGTTTATTTATTGTTTTCCCTTAAAAGCAACCTGCTTATCCCTCCATGTTTCTTCATAAACAAGACAGAAAGAATTTGAGATTAAAAGACTATGAAGGTGGGAAGAAGTGAAACGGATACATTTCCTCACCCAACACTTTTATTAAGAATGCTTATAAATTATTTATCTTATATTTGACCACTGAGTTATGAATTTGCTTTTGTATTACATAATTTAATTTCTAATTTAAAAATTTTTTTTACAGGAGTAAAAAATGTCTGCTACAATTATCTGGGAATAAATTTCATGTAACAATGGGAAAAAAAGAAAAAAAAAAGAATGTTTTGCTCTTATCACATGAGAAAGTGCCATTTGCCCCTCTTATCTAGCAACACACAATACCGTCAGTTCGTTTTCTTTCGAATTCATTTGGTTCAACACAATGTTTCTGTTCATGCCTGTTGCTTACCAATTCTTTTTTTTGAGGTGGGGGTGGGGAAAGAAAACAATCACATGCATATTAACATACATCTTTGCATAACTTTCCAGCAGTCACTCTTTTTTTTTTTTTTTACATTTTTCCATAATAAAGCACATTTGTGCACGCTTTATACATTCAGGTTTGTCCATCTCCCAGATGTACATGTTTTGTGTGTATATTTTGAATTGGGTATTAAGTTGGAATTTCTGAAGGGTAAAGATTTTGGCACTTTCAAAAAAAAAAAAAACATTTCTCTAGAAAAATGCCAGTAATTGGGTTTTTCATTCTGCTGTATCCATCCCTTTTCTTCTCTACACATTAGAGAAACTCGTTTTCCACACCAGTTAAAATACCTTTCAAGAAATCTTCACCCCTCATCCTCCCTCTTCTTGAAATAAAGAAATCATTTTTAGTTTAGTGTCAATTCGTCGATCAAATGAAACTTTTACCTCAGCTAAATTGAACTCAGCAGGGTCCTTCCTGCCTTAGATACAGATTAACAGAGTTGGAAGGGACCTTGTAGGTCATGGTCCCCAACCCGCCGCGGCCCGCTGAGTGTACCACCACGGCCCAGGAGCTTTTGCGCAGATTGCACAGATTTGCGCTGCAGCGTTCATGAGCTGCGCTCCAGGTACTCCACGACCGGTCCGCGGATCCACTGTTGTAGGTCATCTATCCAACCCCTCGCCCAGCAGACCCCACACCATTTCCAACAGTCTCTTCTTGAAAGCTTCCAGTGATGAAGCTCCCTCAACATCCGGAGGCAATTTCTCTTCCATTGGTTGATTGTTCTGTCAGAAAATTTTCCTTATTTCCAGGTTGAATCTCTCTTTAGTCAGTTTCTATTAATTATTCCTTGTCTGGCCTTTAGGTGCTTTGGAAAATAGCTTGACCCCCTTCCTCTCTGTGGCAGCCCCTCAAATATTGGAAGACTGCTATCATGTCTCCCCTGGTCCTTCTCTCCTTCTCTTCACTAGACTAGCCATGCCCAGTTCCTGCAACCATTCATCGTATATTTTAGCCTCCAGTCCCCTAAGAATCTTGGTTGCTCATCTCTGCAACCTCCTTTCCTTCCCTACCTTTCCTTCCCTTTCTCCTTTCCCTTCCTCCCTACCTTTCCTTCCCTTTGTCCTTTCCTTTCTTCCTTTGTCCTTTCCTTCTTCCTTCCCCACCTTTCCTTTCCTTTCTCCTTTCCTTTCCTTCCTTCCCTTTCTCCTTCCCTTCCCTTTCTCCTCTCCTTCCTTCCTTTCGTTTCTTTCTTTTCCTTCCTTTCCTTCCTTCCTTCCCTACCTTCCCTTTCTCCTTTCCCTCCTTTCTTCTTTCCTTCCTTCCTTCCTTCCTTCCTTCCCTTTCTCCTTCCCTTCCCTTTCTCCTCTCCTTCCTTCCTTCCCTACCTTTCCTTCCCTTTCTCCTTTCCTTTCCTTCCTTCCCTTTCTCCTTTCTTCCTTCCTTCCTTCCCTACCTTCCCTTTCTCCTTTCCTTTCCTTCCTTCCCTTTCTCCTTCCCTTCCCTTTCTCCTCTCCTTCCTTCCTTCCTCCTTTCCTTTCCTTTCCTTCCTTTCCTTTCTCCTTTTCTTTCCTTCCTTCCTTCCTTCCTTCCTTCCTTCCTTCCTTCCTTCCTTCCCTACCTACCTACCTAACCCACCCCTTGAAATGGTTTCAAGTAATAAAATATTTAGACAATGTGTTTCTTCAGCTCTATTTGAGTTGGAGGTTAAGCAAGGCAAGAGGGGGCATAAAGGGCACAGCTCCTATAGCTGTTTGCTTGGACTGTTCGAAGGAATTCATCCAGAGCTGTGTAGAGCGATGGTGGTGAAATTGTGGTTAAAAAAAAGGGGGGGGAAGGCTTCACAGTTTATATGTCATTAGATCAGTCTCCCAGGGCTGCTCCCTCGGGGTCGCTCTTCTTTCTCCTGCAGCCCGGAAGCCTCCGCAGGCAAGATCTTTCCCCCACCCCTCCCACCCCCTCAAAAAAAACCCCCACAGTTCCCGAAAAGCGACGCGGGTGGAATTTTTTTTTTTGTTGTTGACATCCTGGCTTGTCGTTTTGGAACCGTGGTTCGCGTGAGTCACTTAGGACCCCGGAGAGCTTTTCAGCTAGTGCAGGCACAAAAGCTCGGTGCCCACTGAGCATGTGCAAAACCGAGGCTTGCTCTCTTAAGGCTGGGTTAGTTACTGATATAAACAGCTGGAGGAATTCGAAAGGCTGAGTTTTTTTAGAGACCCAGCAGAGCCGCCGGAGCGGAGATGCGAGAGGATTACAGCTTCTGCGGGCTTCCGTCGGGCTGGCAGAAGAAGGCTTAGCCAAGGGCACCCGAAAGATCTGCCTTTTCTTTTTTTTCCTTTTTTTTCCCCCGACGCTTGCATTCCGGTTTTGAGGCTGGCTGTCTTTCCTCGCCTTTTTGCCAGGGACTTTTTCTCTCTGGCAAGACGACGGAGTTTTGGAATATTGTTTTTTTTTAATTATTTTTTTCCCAGAGGTGAGTTTTTCCTTCCTTTCTTCCTGGCACATGTGGGGAAAACCTACCTTGGCTCACGTTCCCATCCTCCACTGCTTGACTCGGGACTGGAGAACTTTTCCGAGCTCTCTTCGCCAACAGTTTTTTTAAGGGATTGCGTGTCTTTTTATTATTATTATTATTATTAATATTAATATTATTTAGAATCTCTCAAGGAAGGATGAAAACCATTTACATTTCAATGGGGTAGTAGTACATTTTAATAGGGGACATTTCAATGGGGTAGTAGTACATTTTAATAGGGGACATTTCAATGGGGTAGTAGAGGGACACGGAGGTTGTGGTTAGTGGAGAAGGGTTCATCCCTCGTATGTAGGGCACCAAGGGAGGTTTGGAAGGAAGGACCAGTTTGGATCTGGGTCTCTGTGTTGCAGAAAGAGGTTGTCTGGGCAGGTTTCGAGGGGAAAAAAAACAACACACACAGGTAGAATCTTCCAAGCACCCCCTTTAATGCACAGAAATATTTCCTAAGACTTTATAAATAGCATCTATCGCTTTCTGGGGGGGGGGGGGTTTGCGGGAGTGGTAGGGGGGGGGGTCTTTTGGCATTTTGGGTGCTTTCAGTGCTCAGGCCTCTTTCAAAGATCTATTGGAAACGGGTGTCCTCTCGCGCTGGAGAGACCTGCTTCTCTGAAATTGGTGTTATGCAAAGGTTTTTTTTTTCTAGGGGTTCTGTCTTCAGGAGAGAAACTTATTCCTCTCTGAAAAATCATATTGGCTTGCTGGGAAGTATTTTCCACGCTGTTCCAGGAAGATCCAAAGTCAGAGTTTATTATTATTATTTGTAAAGCTCCATTTATCTTAAATTGGATAAGAATTCTTCGGCAGCTTTCCTTCCCCTTTTTAATGTTGATGTAAAAGACAATAGAGCACAGATTATCATAAGTATACACACACACACACACACACACACACACACACCAAAGCTCAAATTTATTTCTATAAACCCATAGGGTTCAATCTTGTGCCAGAGTCTATTTTTCACACCGTAATCTTCAAATGTTGTGATTGACTCACCATGGATCGTTGTAAGACTGCAGGAAGCAAGCATATAGTTCTACTTTAGAGGGAGGGAGGGAGGAAGGAAGGAAGGAAGGAAGGAAGGAAAGAATTCTTCCCTTCCACTTCAATCGGTCTCTTATCTTTATTTCTCCAGTGTTCTTGAAAGTAATTCCAAGAATATGCTTCCTTCCCCAAACCTCCGTTTTTCCAATTAAACCCTGACTATGATGAATACAGAAATCTCAAATTGTTGTTGTTCATGGTACAACTGATGAGCAGTGCAGGTTCAGTTTGATACAGTTTTCTCTACAATACCATGTTTATTTACTGCTTTTTCACCATCTCCTTGGGCATCCTTGCAATTTCTATCTTGCATTTCTATGCCTTCCTTCCCCTGTTCTGCTCCACGTATTCTCCCTAGCCCCTGATTGCCCTATGCCACTTCGGTATCTATTGGGTGCCCTTTAAGTCATCAAGGCTTGCCCATTCGTGCAAGTGAAGGTTAGCTTCTGATCCTCAGGACAAAGAAAAAGAGTGCAAATGAGCCACTTAGGTCATTAAATGGAGAGGCTGTTACCCAAGACAAATTGAAATCAAATTGGGTTTCCGTAGAGAGGCTGTAGGTCCATCAATAACTATTCTTCTCAAAGGCTGTAGAACATTAAGGATGTAAAAGAAATAATTGCCTATTTCCTTTAGAACAGAAAGATACAGTCCACCAGTAGAGTCTGAGTCATAGCACGGCTGGTGGAAATATACAGAATGTCCTCAAAACTTTTTATACAAAACAACATGTGTGTTTGAAAAAGGGGTAGGCGCACATCCTTTCCTCCCCCCCCCTGGGAGGGTGGGGAGGAAGCCAGGTGAGGGAGTCATGATAGATGCTTGAGTAAAAAACAAACAATTATGAAGAAAACAGCGTGCCAAGCAGGGTATATATTAGGTGTATATCCTTGTATATTGTCTACAAAGATATTTTGGGGAAATTGCAAAGAAAACGGTGAACCGATTTGATGTGTGTGTATGGGATAGGGATCGGTACAGGTATAGATACAGGCAGAATAATAAGTAAATATACAAAATCTGACCCAGAATGTATTTGCAATAAACCCAATGTCCCTATGTAAGGTGTCCAGAGTCAAAGGGGGAGCATGATCATATCCAAATGTGATTTGCCAATAGGTGACAAAGTAAGCCGTACGTAATCGTGTAGAGCAGTGTTTTAAGATCACACCTGGAATGCTGTATCCAGTTTTTGTCACCATATTATAAAAAAAGATGTAGAAATTCTGGAAAGAGTGCAGAAAAGAGCAACAAAGATGATAAGAGGTCTGGAGGCTAAAACATATGAAGAAAGGTTGTAGGAACTGGATATGGCTAGTTAATGAAAAGAAGGACTTGGGGTGACATGACAGCAGTGTTCCAAAATTTGAGGGGCTGCCACAAAGAAGAGGGGATCAACCGATTCTCCAAAGCACCTGAAGGCGGGACAAGAAGCAATGAGTGGAAGCTGGTTAGAGAGAGATCCTAACCTAGAACTAAGGAGAAATTTTCCTGACAGTGAGAACAATTAACCAGTGGAACGGCTTGCCCTCAGAAATTGTAGGTGTTTCATCACTGGAGGCTTTTAAGAAGAGATTGAACAGCCATTTGTCTGGCATGGTATGGGGTTTCCTACCTGAGCAGGGGGTTGGACTAGAAGACCTCCAAGATCCCTCCCAATAACATTCTGTTAAGTTTCTATGGATGTTTGGGAGAGAATTCTCAATTTCAGTCCAGCTTTGAGGACCAGGCTTAAGCAACAGAAGAGATCTGATTGCTTTAGTATCCTCTCTGTAAGCAATGCAAAGCGATCTGGTTGATCACTATAAACACGAGAAAACATGACTGGATGGTCTTTGGTATAATCCCTCTGGATGATGCCACTTGAGTTCAAGAACTAAAATATTTAGTCTGTCCATCTAAGCCTGTTTTTTTAAAGTCCTCCTTACATGTATTATACTGGCAAGAAGAATCTTTTTTATATGGCTGAGGAGAAGTAGGATGAAGAGAGCGGTGAGTGACAAAAGAGAGAAGAAAGGCTCACAAAAGAGAAGATGAGGAAAAAGCAAGGAGGTCCAGTTTGAGAGGGCCAAAACTAGCAAAATGGTGGATGGAACCAAGGCAGTGAAAATATGGACATTGGAAAAGGGTGGGGCTTGCACAGTGATGTTCTGTCCACTTTTTTTTTTTTTTGATAATTTTGACCCTCCCAATGTGGATACTCCCAGATTCTGCTCAGGAAGGAAATGTTGACAAAAATTGACAAAATCCATTACTCTTTCTTTTTTTACTTTTGACTCTAGACCAGAGGTGGGATTCACTTACCTTCCGTAGTGGTTCGCAAATGTGAGCGTGTGTGCGCGCACGGCCTTCCGTGCATGTGCAGTACTCGCGCTTTATGTCAGGGAGAGTGAGCGGAGCCTCCCGCAATCGCCACTACCGGTTTGCCCGAACTGGAGAGAAGCGGATGAATCCCACCTCTGCTCTAGACCAGGAGTCTCCAACCTTGGCAACTTTTAAGACTTGTGGACTTCAATTCCCAGAGTTCCTCAGCCATCTTTGCTGTCCACAGTTTTGCTGGCTGAGGAATTCTGGGAGTTGAAGTCCACGAGTCTTAAAGTTGCCAAGGTTGGAGTCCTCTGCTCTAGACTCAACTTAAGCTCTCCCCACCATTGGCATTCCCTCAAATTGGATTATTGTAACGCGCTCTACATGGGGCTACCCTTGAAAAGTGTTCAGAGACTACAGTTGGTCCAGAATGCAGCCGCGCGAGCTATTGTGGGTGCATCTAGATACACCCACATTACACCAATTCTCCGCGAGCTGCACTGGCTCCCTATCAGTCTCCAAACGCATTGGTAATAACCAATGTTGGTTATTACCTTTAAAGACCTACATGGCTTAGGGCCAGGCTATCTTTGAGACCGCCTTCTACTGCATAGCTCCCATCGACTGGTAAGATCCCACAGAGTTGGTCTCCTCCGGGTCCTGTCAGCTAAACAATGTTGGTTGGCGGGCCCATGGGGGAGGGCCTTCTCTGTGGCTGCCCCGGCTCTCTGGAACCAATTACCCCCTGAGGTCCGGACTGCCCCCACCCTATTGGCCTTCCGGAAAGCGATGAAGACCTGGCTTTTCCGGCAGGCCTGGGACCGTTGATCTCACTACGGCGATCTTGCGAGATCCAGCCATGGAATGGAGTGTATGGGTTTTTAATGTTCTTTTAAAAATTTTTTATGGGATATTGTTCGCATTGTTTTTTTGCTGTAAGCCACCCAGAGTCCCTAGGGAGTTGGGCGGCATAGAAATGCGACTAATAAATAATAAATAAATAAGTTGTGTCTGAGAGAATGTACTTGGGAAATATATATATATATATATGTGTGTGTGTGTGTGTGTGTGTGTGTGTGTTTCCTCTATATATAAAGGTTATCTCTCTTTTATGTACTTGTTTCAATGTAGAAAAAATTAGACTCAAAAACATGGTGGTCTTTTTTTGAAAACAAGGACAACTACTACCTTAGAAGCTTAGTTTGAAGCTGGATGAGAGCAGCAGGCAAGGCAGAATAATTCCATGAATGAAGGCAAATATACGTGTCCCTGGATAATGATGTGAGATCGAATTTGAGTCAGTCACCGGGACCAGAGAGAAAGTGGATTACAGATAGTCCTCAATTTACAGTGGTTCATTTAGTGACCGTTCGAAGTTACAACGGCACTGAAAAACATGACTTATGTCCGTTTTTCAAAGTTACGACCTTTGCAACGTCCTTACGATTATGTGATCAAAATTTGAATGCTTGGGACCTGGTTCATATTTATGACTATTGCTCAGGGGTGAAATCTACTTACCTTCCTTACCGGTTCGGAAGCGCATGCACCACGTATACACGCATCACATGCACATGCAGACCTGTGCA